TAGATATGATAGAGTTATGCTCTATCTAATTGGAGTTAGGATAAGAATCCCTTTTGATCCGCATCTCTAACCCCATCTACATACACGATATATTTCTCTGATTCAATTAATTCACACATAATCTTACAAAATACAGAATAACGAGAGTGAGAGATATATGATTTCCACAAACCTGTGTATTCCGGGGATATAGAGGTGATGGTTTACTGGTGTTCAAGGCCCAAGGAGGACCAATCTAATTCTCGAAGTGTGGACGATTAATCAATCGTCCAAAGGTATGAAATTTTTTACAAATACTCCAATTATTGATTTCGTGAAATATTACGTGGTTATGCTCCAAAATTTTTATAATCGCTTCCGTTTTGCGGCTTACTCTTGCCTCCTAGTGCTGTATATGAATGATTCTGACTCTTCAAGTCTTTATCAAAATGGTCATGACTCATTACGCAGTATCATCTTCGTTAATTGAGGCAGTTCTGAGGGGCATATTGAATATAAAGATTTTTAATATTATTTGCACAAGGTAAGTACTTTAAAGATTCAAACAGGCATTTTCATGCTTGACAGTACGTAAAGCATTTAAAATGTGTTGAAGACTCCAAACACTTTTCTCGAACTCATAATATTCTGATGCAGTAGTCCATAAATTGGGAGATGTGGACAAATAAAACGAAGGCAAATAATTATCAATTAAGGGAATTTAAGTCACAAGGTATAAGTCAGGCTGATTGAATTTATGTTTTTGTAGCAATTTGGAGGATTTAAATTTGACAATCACAAGGATAAACGTGTTAAAGAGTATGGGTTAAACACTTGCAAAATTGATGATGATGATCTCTCTCTCCCACAGGCGCACAAAGAAAGATAGAAAAGGTACATACGTAAATAACACACCTCGGCCAAGAAAAATAAATTAAATTAAGAAAAAAAAACTCCTCAATTTATGTTTGTCCAGTTTTACATATATTGAATCCCGATTTATTAATTTTCCAAAGCGCCAATATTACTCATTTATCTCATTGTAAAATTTTAACAAATATAAGTATATTATTTTCTCTTACTAATCTTTAATTTAACATTAATGATTTTTTCAATTTTTGGTTTTTTGTGATTCTCTTTGTAGGGGCTGAAACGGTAGTATTACAGATTGGAACTTCAACCACTTGGCTGAACTTCATAACAATTGCATGGATAAAGAAGGTTAAGATTGGTTTTTTATTTTTTATTTTTTTTTGACTTTTACTATTTATGTTAACAAACTTGTGTTTGCTAACTGTTATCTTATTTTATTTCTATCTATATTTGATGGTAACGATAAACTAATTTATAAATTGCTCGCAGATATAAAATTAATTGTGTATGAACTGAATAAATATCTGTTTTCCAATTTTCTGAAGAAACTTATTTGGTGCATTGCTTGACATTTCTCTAATATTTAAGATCTAGATAGACGTTTACCTTAAGTTCATAATATTTTTTTTTTGGTTTTGGTGGTGCTGAGTTCCTATGATGGTGAGGTTGACGGTGAACATTCTGCTGGTGAGGCTTATGCTGCTGGTGCGGTTTTTGTTGGTGGTGGTGATCCATTTTTTTCCCTGACAAGTTTTTGGATTTCTGCTAATACTTCCTTTAATATGTTATCTATTGGATTTCTGCTAATACTTCCTTTAATATGTTATCTATCCGTCCATTATTTATAATTTTGAGGCACAATAGTACTTGGATTATTGTCAATCCAAATTTGTTTCCATGTCTATTATTGTCATTCCAAACCGATTTCAATTTTAACAAGATTTTTGCACAATGAAGTGAGATGGATTATTTTAAATTAAGAATTCTAACCCTACCATTTTGTGTAGGTCTAGTGTCCACAGACATTTATTTTAACAAACTGTATATGGTGATATAACGTAATTGGTAAAATAGAATATTTAAGAAAATTATAGAGATTGATTACCGAAAAAAAATAAAACTAGAATCTTCGTCCAATGAGACACTGTTCTTAAGACAATTCTATAAAAAGAAAATATTGAGTTGTTTTACCATACGGATTCAGAAATTTAGGAGGGGGGGAGCGATAATGAAATTTTTTAGTAATTTTAGGGGGTAAAGTAATATTTTATGGATGTATAGTTGAAAAAATGAATTTATGAAGCTCAAGATTGAAAAAAAAGAGGGTCTCACTAATGTTCGAACCGCCGTTCGATAGATAAATCCAAAGGGAAAAAGTGTGTTGGGCACTAGATTTGTTCAGGAGAGCATGAATTATAGATTAGCTAATACAGATTGGCACCAATCAGATGATTATAAGAACTTGAAAGATTATGAATTTGACAGTCAAGGCACAGACTAATCACTGACTCAAATCCATTGTCGAATCCTATTCGGTGGAATATGAAGATACTTATGGCAGAACGATCAATTTGGTCTATCACAATAAAGTCATAGACGAAACTATCATAAAAATGATTTATTTGTAGATTAATATATCACTTCGAAATAGCATATACATCACACATCCTAGATCAGGAGTAGCATATACATCACACATCCTAGATCAAGTAAAGACTATGAGTTTTCAGCAAGCCACCGCTACAGTAGCTTTTGCAGTAAAAAGAAAAAGAAGAGATCATCAATGCCTTGGAAATAATCCTAACTTAACGTGTTTTTATCCAAAAATTATTTTGGGAAGCTGCACGTGGCAGTAATGAGAATCTAATCAACATAAATAATGTAGGAACAGACTGATCATGACTGCAATGACACGTGGTGTATACCCATCAAATTGTAATGACACGTGTCAACTGTGCAAGTGTGGTGGACCACTGATTGTTGATGCCGATGCACGCCCTTACCGTAACTTCGTGAGAAGAATTGGAGGGAATATAATTGTTTGCCACTTGGGTGGCTTGGGTTTGACACGGTGTCCCTGTTTGCTACGTGTCTGCTTAATTTTTCACACAATTAACAACTTCCACGTGGCACTTGGGTAATTTTTACTAAGCATTTATTCCTTGCTAGATAATACTATTTATATTTTTCCTTACACAAGAGAAAGTAGATATAATTCATTAAAAATATTTTAATCATGGTCAAATATTTGATAAAGTGAAAAAAAAAAAATTCAATTCCCACTTTTCAATTACAGCTAACAAATTCCGCCTAACCCAAGCAATTTTAGTCCAAACTTAAGCACGTTGACAAGGTGGTCGAGATCATGGAATTGGAATAGAGATTAAATTTTAGAGCTCTAATGTATTCTGAGTGAGATTTCTTCCAAAAATTTACAAAATTAATGACATGGGTGTTTTGGGACATAACACATCACAAGAGGATAGGACCCACACATTTAAGTTGGTGACTTGGGTCTGACATCACTGGGCCTCTTGGTTGTGTGGGGTCACGTAAAAATTTAAGATGACACTCTGCACATAAAATTAGCATGACAAAAATCATATCAAGCTGGTCTTGAACAAATTAATCAAAAATCAAATGCAATCTCAAAAGGAAAATTGAGAAAAATTTCTTAGTTGGAAGGGTTTTAGATTTTGACTTCATAATTGTAAATTAAACTCTAAAAATTCACGTATGTGTAATTCTTACTAAAAAATATCCTAAAATAAATTAAAAAATTAATACATGATTTGGCATGGTCATGAGCTATCACAAAAAAATAAAAAAAATAAACAAAAAAATAAAAAAATAAAGTTGATACCTACGTCTACTTACTTGTAAACTATGTGTATGTCTATTAAAAAAGAAAAAACAGTAAAATACAAATATTATATCAAATCAAACTAATCTAAGGAAAACTAAGGTTAAGATTTTTTTTATAATATACTAATACATTAAGTTTTTGTGAGATCATTTTTTTTAATTAGAGTATCTAGATTAAATTGGTCTACAGTCTCTACACGGTATTAATTATCAGGATTAAATAATAATTTTTGGGGTTGTTAAACTTCCCCATCATTACTGGGTTGACTACTGGACTGAAGAAATTTCCATGCACCTGCCACATTAAGCGTGTTGACTAAGAGCATCCACAGCCCACCAGCGGAAGCCTTATTCCGCGAGCCAAATCTGTTTTCGGTCCTCCGGCAGCCTCTTCAAAATGGTAGGGCCCATTTGAGGCTCGCAGTATTCAGCGAGTCAATTCGCGATTAGAGTAATTTTTTTTTATGTTTTTTATGGGTCCAAAACGGCGCCGTTTGGTTGCCTTTCTTTTGTCACTTTGTAACAGTGGTGTAACAGTGCACCAAACAGTGCCTTGACAGATTTTTTTTTTAAAAAAAACCTAAAAATAGGTTCAAATGAACTCTTTTTTTTTAGAAAAAAAATAAAATAAAATTCATTAAATAAAAAATATATTGTTTAGGCACTATTTATTGAAAAAAAAATTATTTGGGCCAAAAAAAAATTCAAAAAGCTTTTGTTTTTTTGGTTCTTTTTCCTTAAAATTTGTTTTTATTTTATTTTATTTTTCTTTAAATTGTAATCCTTATTTTCTTATTCCAATTCATTATTTTTAATCCTTATTTTGTAATCCTTAAAGTTGAAATTTATTTGGGCCAAAAATAAATTCAAAAAGATTTTGTTTTTTTTTGGTTTTTTTCCTTAATTTTTTTTTTTTTTTTTTGCTTTAAATTGTAATCCTTATTTTCTTATTCCAATTCATTATTTTTAACCCTTATTTATTTGGGCCAAAAATAAAGAAAAAAAACTTTTTTTTAACACTTTTTGTTAAAAAAAAAAAATTAAAATGACAAATTAATCTACTTATTCCCATAGAATTTTCTAATACTTATTTTCTTATTCCAATTCATTATTTTTAATCTTAAAAAACCATTACATAATAAAAATTATAGTATACGAAATGTCATAATATCTTAAAAGCAAACAAAATGCAACATAAATTAAACAACTTCATCAGCACAGCGGTTCCACAAATTTTCTATCAAATCATTTCTCAACCGCGTATTTGTCTCTCTGTTGCGAATCTAAAGTTGGCGAGAGGATATGTGTGCCGCTAAAACTGATGGGCATCGACTTAAAGTGGGAATCGGGATTGCATCCTCCGGTGGCGGAGTCCATCTTCCAACATTTGCATGACGCTTATCTTCAATGATCATATTGTGAAGGATGATGCATGTTTTCATTATAAGGCGCAAGTCATCTTTCTCCCAGTAACGCACTGGTCCTTGTGTTATTGCCCACTTGATCTGCAATACCCCAAAAGCCCGTTCCACATTTTTTCTTGCTGCCTCTTGTCGCTGAGCAAATAATTTTTCTTTTGTAGTGGTTGGGTGCTGGATGGTCTGCATCAAAGTTACCCATTTAGGGTATATACCATCAGACACGTAATACCTCATTCTATAGTGATGTCCATTCACTACATAATTAATCGGAGGTAATTGGCTATTGATGATGCCATTGAATACCGATGAATGATCCAACACATTTATATCATTGTGTGAACTCGGCATTCTAAAGAATGCATGCCAGATCCACAAATCTTGTGAGGCAACTGCTTCCAATACGAGAGTATTCTTACCAGATCGTCCCCTATGTGTGCCTTACCACTCCACTGGGCAATTCTTCCACTCCCAGTGCATACAGTCGATAGAACCAAGTATACCCGGAAAACCTCTCTACTCCCCTTCTTCAAGCAACCGTGCTATGTCGGCTTTGTTGGGTGGGCGCATATACTCCTCTGCATACACAGCAACAATAGCATTACAAAATGCCTTCAAGCATTTAATGGCAGTGCTCTCGCTGATTTTAATATACTCATCATAGTGATCGGCTGCACAACCATATGCGAGTATACGAACAGCAGTTGTCATCTTCTGTATAGAAGACAACCCCAGATGACTTGTTGCATCCTTTTTTTGGACAAAGTAGTTATCATAAGCTTTGACATCATTAAGGATACGAAGAAAATGTTCTCGTCGCATCCTGAATCGCCTGTGAAAGTACTCTGGTGGATATGTGCAATTCTCGTTGAAGTAGTCTTTCATTAGCTGATAGTAGCTTCCCTCTCGATCACAATGAATGTACCGCTTCTTTTTATGGACTTGAAATACTTGCTCGACTATCTCTGGCCTCACTGAATTCATAATCTCATAGAATTCGTCTTGATCTTGTTGAATCAACGCCCCAAAAGGATCACCTTCCGAAGAGGATGACGAGGAAGATGAAGAATTAGAGTCTGCCAAATAAAAAGCTTGTGATGACGAAGCCATTCGAATCTCGAAATTGAAAAAGATGGATGATGATATTTTGCTACAATGGAGAGAGATGATTATAGTGATGATTTTCAAATGAGCAAATGAGTTTCATTATATAAGATGAACATATAGCCGTTTAAAATTCAAATTTTAAAAATATAGCCGTTAAAAATTCAAACTTTAAAAATATTACCGATAAAAATTCAAATTTTAAAAATATAGCCGTTACAAATATAGCGGTTAAAAATTCAATTTTTAAAAATATAGCCATTAAAAATATAGCCGTTTAGGAAAAGTTAAAAAAAAAAATAATTTTAATTTTTTATTATTATTTTTTTTGGAAAGCGAAAATTCGGAGAGCCTGATGGAGTGCATGTTTTTGGAGAGCAAAAACTGCTGACATGGTTCTTGAAATTGCTGATGTGGCTCTTGGAAAAGCTGATGTGGTGTTTTTAAATAACCAAAATTCTGAGAGGCTGGTGTGGATGCTCTAAGTGGCAACGCGTTTATGGAGTATGGTTGACTAACGGGCAATGTGGTAGGTTCATGGAAATTGCTTGCAGATTACCTTAGTCAATATCACCAATAAACTAAGAGTGGTTCATAGAAACTCACAACCAAATTCCTCATCTTTAAGATTTGAATAAGCATCTAGCTAAATGGCTAAGAATTGAAAAGGCAATATATATATATATATATATATATATATATATATTTATGTATATATAATTATTTATTGCTATCCGGTTTCTAGCTTCGAGTAATTTGGCACACAATTAAGCAAGGCCTATACTATCTCTAGTGTCTGCATGATCATCTTTTGCATTTAAGCAATCAATTCCCATTCATGTGGGGGATTATTAGAAATTGTGAATGAAAATTGTTTGATTAGTCATCAATAAATGTCTTTTACTGAACATGTGTGATTACTGGTTGGTTGTGGAATGAAAAGATGCAACCTAAAATGAACAGACATATTGGAATGGATATGTTTAGTGGTGAACAGACACCATGTGAACCATTGCAACATATTGAAGTGGATATGTCTAGTGGTGAATAGACACCATGTGAACCATTGCAACCAATTGGAGTAATTGTGTCCGGTGATGAAGAGACACATATAAATGGTTGTATCTAGTGATGAAGAGACACATATAAATGGTTATGTCCAGTAATGAAGACACATATAAATAGTTGTGTCCAATGATAAAGAGATACACCCAATCCGAAAAAAGCATTTCTATTTCTATAAATAACCCCTTGGGCTACCATTTGCAATTCATTCAATTCAATTTTGCTTTTTCTCTATCCCTTTCTAGACTTGAACCCAACCCAAGTGAGTTTAAACCATATGTCAAGTGATTCGAGCCACTTAAACCCTAATCCAATTTCACTGAACCATATTAAGATTGGTCTGAACCATTTGGTTCGGATTGCGTCCAATTTAGCATTTATATAGTATAGATGCATTTTTGAGTCAGAGAGAGTATTACACAAAGAAGGTTCGCCGTATCCACGAGTTTGTAGTGCTGCTACTGGTGGATGTAAACCGTTGTATACTGGGAGATAGACGACACTAAGTCCGTTAGCACCATAGTGGGACAAATCTGTCTTAAGGACATAGTATTTAATACTATTATACTAATCTCAATCCAGGTTCTTTATTTATTAGTTATTAATTTATTACTTTATTTTACATATTTAATTAAATATATAGTCGTATATTTAATTAATTATTTCTTAACATATTGTTAATTATCTCATAACATATTAGTATAAGGGTTGTTATATCTTAAATGTCAACAATTACTTATAAAGGAAACAATCTTGTATGACGTTTTTCGAACTTTGTAATAGCGGAAGCCTCGTGCATTGCCATACATTAGTCCTTTTAGTACTGATTGATTGCAGTGGTTTCTTGAAAGCAATATTAGAATTCCAGTGCACTATTACACTGTTTGTACTTTAAGTGCATCTATAGAACTTGTCTCCATCGTGTGCATGTTGAGGTGTTCACGTTCACTTAAGCGGATCAAAGTTATTGGTGATTTTAAAGGTCCGAAAATATTGAAACACTGGCGGAGACAGTTCTAAGGTACAATTACTCTTTTTTTATTACATTAAATTAATTTAATTGAAACAATTCATTACTATGGTCACGAAAAATAAAACGGTTAATTATAACGAGACCCCCTGAGGTTTATCGTATTGACAGGCATATATAAGTTAGCTCTTTTTTAGACAATAAGGCCCCTCAAGTTTGTAAACTTTAAACAATAACACCCCAAACTAGATGAAAGTACATGTTTACCCTTTGACCACGTAAAATGACCAAAGTAACCTCAGCCAATATACACAACCACCACTCATCACCACCTTAACCTCAATTACCACCATCTTTTTCATTGTTCCACCACCATCACACAAACCCTACAATTCAAAATTACACACGTATATCTATATATACATACATACAAAACAATAGGGTAATTACACACATATATCTATATATATATACATACAAAACATAGGATAGAGGCAGCCATTGAACCTGGTTGTATTACCTTCCGAGCTCTCTTCCGTAGATCCTTCCGAGCACAGCCATTGAACCCAACCGAGTCCAACTCGGACAAGTCAGAGCCCATCACTGCCGCTATCAGTTAGCTGCGCCCGTCACTGCCGTTCTGAAGTCAACTGAGCCAATTGCCGCCGATTTCGTTCAGCCAAGCTATCCACCGGCGTTCAGTGCTATTAGCCTGTCACCCACAGTCAAGGCCGTCTTCCCGTCACCCACAACCGAGACCGTCTTCATCACCGCCGAGCCCTCACCGGCCGTGCCTTCACCAGCCGCCGCGAGTCCTCCACGGCCGAGCCATCCACAGTTAAGCTCTCCTCTAGTCGAGCTCTCCAAAGCCGAGGCTAAGTTCATCCTCGCAGAATTCACCACCAACCTATCCTCACCGGATCCATCACAACTGCTATTCTTGGCTGTTGCTTCATCCTACCAAGTCTCCCTCTTGCTAAAAATAGATGACGGTGAGGGTTCGGGCAGAGGCCATTGCAGGAGAGTATCCGAAGTTTTTGTTAGCGACGTTGCAGGGCCAAAATTCGAGTCGGCAATGAGGAATCAGTCGCGATTCCGGCGACGATTTTCTGCTTCACTATTCCTGTAACGGCTCGATGGCATCCTCGTCAGTCCTCAACGCAGAACTCGGAACTCTGGCGGTGGCAGCGCGGTACGGCGCGGAGGTCGGAACTGCAACGGCGGCTGTGGCGCTGCACCGGTCATCGAGTTTAGGTTTTTTCGGAGCAGAGGGTAGAGATTTAAAAAGGGTAGTTCTGTCATATGTATATTTTGATATTTTAGATTAATAATTGATATTTTACTGAAGGGTAATCTCGTCTTTTCACAACTTTTAAGGGCTTGTTTGGATTAAAATTTCGGACAGGGGGTGTGAGTGTTCAAAAAATGGCTAACTTATATATGTCTGTAAATACCCCAAACCTCAGGGGGTGTCATTATAATTAACCCAAAATAAAAAAAATATCTGGTGCCACAACTCTCTTTAGTTTTGCTCTTTATTTATATTTGTGATTATATGTTGGCTTGGTTAAACTCCATTTTAACTCATTAAATTAGGACTAAACTAAAAAAACAAGTAAAAGTGAAAACTAAACTTATTCACCTCCCATTGAAATGTTTTGACAACCGCTTCCCGCAATTGTGCAATACTAATATTACTTAAAAAAAAAAAAAAAAAAAAAAAAAAAAAGATAGTAAAATGGCATTTTTGCTAATTTTCTCAAGTAAAAAATTGGGGTTTTGTTCAGTTTTTCAATTTTGAGTGAATATAACAAAACAACAAATTGAAAGCAGTTTTCTAAAAATTTAATTTAAATGAAAATCTTTAGTTTCATATTACGATCCCTTTTTAATTATATAAAATTTGCTCTTATTTATTTAAAAAAATTAAGCTAAACAATACTAAACTAAATAAAACCCAAAAAACATGTAGGAAACCTAACGTTTATTTTCTAAACAGGAAGTGAATCTTCAAGTCTCTAAATTTTTTTTAAAAAACCCATCAAGTGAATTTTTTCAAAGAATTGAAAGCATCCAAGAACAAAAGCTCACAGTGTAAAGCATTCACGACCAACCTTTTCTCATTACCTTGAGAGAGAGAAAAAAATAAAAATAAAAAATAATAATAATAAGAAAAAAGAAAAGAAAAAAAGAAGGCATATTACATACATGAATTTTTTAGCCTAATTTACACAGAGAGTTAGTATATCATTTTAAGGCACAAAAAGTGATACCGAAATACATAAAAATTAGTATATGTACACAAACATGGTTCATATACATGTAGAGAACTGTACCTGGACAAACAACTTAATTTTAACCTTTTTTTTCAATTAAACATAATGCAGCTCATGTGATTAGAAACTGTGGCTTCCTTGGACACCCTGCAGTTGCCGGGAAGCATAATTAGAAACTGTGGCTTTATATTAGACAAATTCATCAATTATTATTTCGAACTTTACAAATTTCAATCAGATTCTAAATTTGAAAAAAAAAAAAAAAAAAAAAAAAAAAAAAAAAAAAAAAAAATCAGATTCTAAATTGTACTTCGCTATTTGACCTCAAATTCACTTTAGTTGACATTAGACAATCAAACTTCTATGTTATTTAGGTACTCGTGAATGGGCCATGTGCAGCACCCATCTACAAATTCCTCAAAGCCAGTAAAGTTGGAATTCAGGTCTAGGACCAAATGAAACTTCACAAAGGCTGTGTGTGTGTTTGTGTGTGTATTGTATGCATATCCTGTCTACCTGTTTTTTGTTGATAACGATATTACAATTTTATCTTAGTTTTAACCCTGTTCGATTCATATAGTAATTCTGCATTTGGCCTTTGAAGTTGTTTAATGGAACTGAAAATTAGTTTGTTTCATTGAATATGATTAGTTGTGGCTAATGCTTACGTGCTAGTGCTTTACAAAACACAAAAATTCAACATATAACAACCATGACTCTGACTTGGATGGCGAGAAAGTCCAAAGTCATGCACAAGCTGTATGGCTAAGATTCGAATGGACATCTAGGTTAATGGCTAAGATTTGAGTGCATAGGTAGAATGTATATATATGTGAATATATATATATAGCTTGTAGTCAATAAAGGAATGAAGGTTCATGGAAACTCATCTTTATGTATACTTTTAAAGTGGGAGGAAATTCCTCATCATTGAGATTTGAATAAGCATCTAGCTTAATGGCTCAGAATTGAAGAGGCATATGTAGAGAATATATATATATGTATAATTACTTGTTGCTCTCCGAAGGAAGGTTGTAGTCAATATCTTGTAGTCAATATTATAATAGCTTGTAGTCAATATCGTCAATAAACGAAGGAAGGTTCATGGAAACTCATCTTTGTATACTTTTAAAGTGGGAGGAAATTCCTCATCATTGAGATTTGAATAAGCATCTAGCTTAATGGCTAAGAATTGAAGAGGCAAATGTAGAGAATATATATATATATATATATATATGTATAATTACTTATTGCTCTCCTATCTATAGCTTTGAGTAATTTGGCACACATCTATGGCTTCTTCATCTTCTTCACTGTGTCGATCGGAATATGACGTGTTCTTGAGTTTTCGAGGGGACGACACTCGCAAAAGTTTTGTGGGGCATCTCTACACAGCTCTGGAACAGAGAGGAATCAGGACCTTCAAAGATGAAGAAAGGCTTGAGCAAGGAAAATCCATTTCTTTGGATCTCCGGAAAAGTATCAATGAATCCAGCATTGCTGTGATCATTTTCTCCAAAAACTACGCTAATTCATCATGGTGCTTGGATGAATTGGTGGAGATCCTTGAGTGCAGGAGGACCAAGGGACTAATAGTTTTGCCCATCTTTTATGATGTCAAAGCATCGCAAGTTCGAAATCAGAAGGGAAGTTTCGCGAAAGCATTTGAACAGCATGAAATAAAGGAGATGGAAAGGGTGCAGAGGTGGAGGGCTCATTTGAAAGAAGCTGCAAATCTATGCGGGCTCGATTTAGAAGATGCAGCAAATGGGTACGTACGTATATGTATATATATATATGTTCTGCTTCTATCAGTTACTACTTACTACAAGCTTAGTTCAATATATATAATATTTTATAGGGTCAAGGGTAAAAAACTCTATTGTCATATAAAATGTGCAAGAAACACCTCTATTAGAAAGAAAAAGAAAAGTGCATATAACTCATTCTATTATTCATCTTTTGAACAATTTGACTCCCGTTAAATTAATTAGTTGAAAAAAGTAGTTGGTGACATAATTTAAAAAAAAAAATTCAAAAGTGTCCTTTTTGTGTGACAAGAATGCCCCTGCTAATTTTGTATTATATTTGAACACTGAATAAGTTTGTTTAGAAAAAACTCCATGTGTGTCTCCATTGTCCACCTATCTAAAAATATATATTTATATATTCTCTCTTTAAAATATCTAGCCACCTCTAAAATATCTTTTTGTGGTGCCGATATTATCTTTTTCTATTTTTTTTTCTCTCAATATTATATCCTCTCTAAATGATAGATGCATATTTTTTTGTAAATGAATTATCATCTTTTAATTATATAATAATAATAATAATAAAATTAATGAATTTGCTTTGACACAAATTGTTATCAGATGAACTTAGAATTTCTATCAAAATTAAAATTTTGATCTAGTTGCTTTTTGTCTGGACACAAACTCAAGCAACACTTTTTATTTTATTTATTTAAATTGTTTATTTTATTTTATTAATGTATGTTCTTTATAATAAACAAGCACAAGGCTTTAACATCACTGTAGGTGCAAAATTTCGCTCAACCAATAATGATTGAGAAAAATAAAACAACTCACTCAAAAAGTAATAAAAATAAATAAGAACAGTGTATAGAGAAGCGTAGAATTGCTTGATCATTTTATTGGAGGTCTGGGCCTCTATTTATACACAAAAGATTGGTTGAATTATGGTAGGACTTGCATTGCTTGTCCTCCAATTCTTTCCCTATAGAAATTCTTTACAAATAGAGCTCCTTACTTTGTATAATTTTCCTTGTGTAGTAGTTTCTTTCTTTGCTGTATCCTTCTTTTAATAGGACTAATTTCCTTTCAATGGATTTGGGCCATAAGTAACCTGATCCATGTGACATTGCTAACGGGCTGGATCTCTTGTTTCGGGCTTGAGCAATGCTACAGAGATCAATTAGCTGTGACCTTGGGCTAGTGTCTTATGATTTTGGGCTGTCAACGAACTTGGACTGGGCTTTGAGAAGGATGGGCCTCTTACATTTGTGATGGGTATTTATATTGCGATGACGTGTACAGTTCTCATTGGAGGGAGATTTTTCCATCCACACTTTGCCCCCAATTCCCTCTTTAATTGGATTGCGGCTCCTATTAAAAAGGGAATTGAAGTTGCACGGTTGTCTATTTTGCAAAAAGACGGTTCGAAGATTGCCCATTGCTATTCTGCCTTGAGAGATTCCGTAAGGGTTACTTTTGCTCTCACTGCATTTCTTTCGTTCTTCATTCCGTCGTCTTATCAGGTTAGTTCTTCATCTATTTCTCTTCGATCTTGCATCATGAGTACTTCGACTACTCCTGAACACATAGAAATCGTGGATTCTGAGTCCACACCTTCGTTGTCCCCTACACTTATTAGGTTCCTCCTCCTAGGGTTCCCAATCTTACTGGTTCTGCAAAGATTTTGACCAATCAATCAAACGTCCCTCTACCTCAAACCGAAACATCCATTTCTGGGTCTAATTATATCTTCACTAAAGAAGAGAGAGATGCAATTTTGTCTGTTCGGTGGATTGAATTCTCCATTGAAGCTACAACGAAAGATTTTGAGATTCCCGAGGGGGTTGAGATTGTAGAATACCCCGAGGTTACCGATTTTTGTGCTGGTTAGGGTGTTAGAGATGACGAGTTGCTTCTTTCAGTTGGGCATCTTAATGCTCTTCGGTTCCCCCTTCACCCTTTCTATCACTTAGTTTTCAATAAGTTAGGTATTTCACCCCTTCAAGTGAACCCCAACTTCTTCCGAATAATCTCGGCACTCTTAGTTCGCCGAAGGCTGGAGAATCTTGATCTGACTCTTGCTAACTTGTTGATTACTTATACTATTTCTAAACATGGGACCAAACCTGGTTGCTTTTTCTTTACCTCTCCCTTGCACTAGAGGATATACACAAATCTCCCTTCCTTTGAAAAGAAGTGGAAAGAGAGAATGATAATCGTTAGAGGGAAATGAGCTGTGGCTCAATCGAATAAGCTCCCAATCCCACACAAATTTAGGAAATTAGGTATAGAATATACCCCCTCTTTACATAAAAATTATTCTGGTTGTTTCCCACGTCAAGTTTTACTCTTCCGGTATACTTATGAATTTCTTGGTCTTGTTTCAGTGACATTCCCTTCCTCTGTTGCCAAGAAGAGACTTTCCTTTCTTGAAAAGAAAGTTTGGTGCAAGCCCCCTTCTATTGAGGATTTGCTTACCTCGGCAAACCTTAAGGAAATCACATCCAAAGCTGCAGACCTCATGGATTTGTCTCTTCCAACCTTCGATAGCTTTCCAATGACTGAGGAAGAAAAACAGGGGGCTGAGGCCCTAAAGAAGAAAGCTGCTGAAGACTGGCCCTTAGCAGTTATCAGGTTGAATGAGCATGAGACAGAGGTCGATGAGCCTCTTCTGAAGAAGATTAGGCCCAATCCACCTTCCTCCGGCAGGAGTAAGACTCGTAAGGGGAAAAGAGGCTAAAGAGACTAAGCCAAAGGATGAAGTCAGAGCATATGTTCTGGCTGAAACTGGGACTCCTTAGGCACCTTCCTTTTCTAGGGCTGATAAATTGGTCCTGCACTCTGGTGATTCTATGATCACCGATCCATCAGCTGCACTGGTAGTTGCTCGAGGAATGTGGCTCCCCAAAGACGAGGAGATTTCTCGGCAGAATGGGACTGGAACAGTTACTTCCATCTACCCCCGTTCGCGCCATAGAGGTCTGTTCCTTCTTCCTTCCCTGCTCTTTTAATTCTTGCTTTCACTATACTTACATTGTTATCTCTGTTGTTTGATGATGTAGGGTCTGTATCATACTATGGCCCTGTGTGCCACTGCTGAGGCACAATCTCTCTCAATCAAGAAGCTAGAGAAAGACCTTGGCAATGCTAAGAAGAAAGCCTCGAACGCATCCTGAATGCGAAGATTGCTTCTAAAGCAAGGGATGTCTACAAGAAGCGCTTGGCTGAGTCTGCAGCTAAGGTGGAGACGTTGGAGGCTGAAGTCCAGCGCTTGACTGAGTCAATTTAAACTTGTGTCACTGTTGGGAGACAAATGCAAGGCCGTTACTCCACTTTGGTGCGCTTGTCGAGTGCAAAAGCTTACCGGTCCGGCTTTAATCAAGGCTCAGGCCCCAAAACGATAGATCCTGATGCCTTTGATGCAAACATGGGGGTGTCCTTCCCTTACGATGAGGGTCCGAAGGCTCAGGAGGCTGAGGTGTTTTTTGCTGAAATGATGAAGGCTCACCCAAAAGATCCTCCAAGTTCATCAACTCCTGTAACTCCTGGTCCTTCAATTCCTCCAACCTCAAGCTCTACTGTAGTGGATGCTTTTGATTCTGCTCCCTTCGATCCGAAGAGGAAGTGGAATCGTGTAATTTATTTTTATTAACAATATTTTTGGGATAATGTAACTTTTTCCAGCCTTAATGCCTTAATTTTGCGTTAACTGAGTGTTCATGAATGCCCTTAATATTGCACACACTTGGCAGGATGTTAATGTTTGGAGTATATTATCTTGTCTGAGAGCTCCTCATTTAATCTAAAGCAAATTTAGGCAGGTTATGAGGAAGGGATCTTCTTTGACAGTTTACCTGATATCTGAGGATTGTTTCTTCCTCTAGTGTTTTAACTGTCAAGGGAACCTTTCTTGCCATGGAGTTGTATGGAGTATATATGTATATACTTGTTATTTCCTGTGTGTTTTCGCTATGGGACCAATGTATAACGGGCCTTACACTAGCGTGAGGGCTTGTGAAGGAAATACCCATGAAGTATTTTCCTCAGCGTTGATCATGAGAGAGGAGATACTCTGAACCGGATACTTAGGGTCCAAAGCTTTTTGAACTGAACACTTAGGGTCCAAAGTGAATTATTCCCCGGCGTTGAGCCTGAGTGAGAATGTGCTAAGCCGGACACTTAGGGTCCGAAGTGTCTTATTCCTCGGCGCTGAACCTAGGAGGAAGCTTTGTTGAACTGGACACTTTGGGTCCGAAATGATTTCATTCCTCGGCGTTGAGCCTGAGAGGAAACTTTGCTGAGCCGAACACTTTGGGTCCGAAGCGAATTGTTCCTCGGCGCTGAGCCTGAGAGGAAACTTTGCTAAGTTGGACACTTTGGGTCCGAAGCGTTTTAGTCCTCGGCGCTGAGCCTGAGAAGAAGTATGCTGAGCCGGACACTTTGGGTCCGGAGCGTTTTATTCCTCAGCGCTAAGCCTGAGAGGAAATATGCTGATCCGGGCACTTATGGTTCGGAGCGTTTTCTTCCTCGACGCTGAGCTTGAGAGGAAGTATGCTGAGCCGGACATTTAGGGTCCGAAGCGTTTTCTTCCTCGGCGTTGAGCCTGAGAGGAAGTATGCTGAGCCGGACACTTTGGGTCCGGAGCGTTTTATTCCTCGGCGCTGAGCCTGAGAGGATGTGTGTTGAGCCGGACACTTAGGGTCTGAAGCGTGGACTAGGAAAAATTCTATGCACTTGAAGAGTATCTTGCAGTAGGCAAGGCCGAGGACTCAAAAATGATAAGAGATTCTCTTCGTGGAGTTTTGATGTATGAAATCATGCATATATTAATTGCATATTCTTTCTATTTCTAATCGATGTAGGACAATAGTAACGGTAAATGTTGCTGCACATAAGTTACTTATGAAAGAAGAGATTCTGAACATAAGCAATTATTGAAACATGCCTTTTTTCTTTGCATAAAAATTGCAAAATCGTAAGGTACAAGTATAGCCCCCCTTTTTATGAAAAGAAAGAA